CGGGGCAACCGATTCTTTGAACAAATGAAATTAGTTTCGTAAAACAAAAGCACGAAAGTAAGAGAAGAAAGCTCACCGCGTGGGCGCCGTGTGCTGCTCGAGCGGTGGGCGCTGCCTGCTCACTGGCGCTCGTTGCCACGCCCCCTCGCGACAATGCACGCGCCGCCGCTGTTGGGCTCGTCGCCAAGGAGACCGGCGCCACTCGTATGGGGACGTGCGCACGAGCCGCCCTGTGCGAGGAGCCTCGCCACCGGGAGGCCCTAGGTTCGAGCCCCGACGGTGGCTTTCTCCGACCAACACCAGCCGAACACCGGCACTTCAACCCGGCACTGCGATCGTTGGCGCTGTCAGACCCAGCGACATCTTTGAAGCCGTGTGTCATGGACGAAATTATTTCTTAACTTTCCCACCAGTCTACCTTCAAACAGATCGCCGTTACTTTGAGTTTATCACAAAAGCGTGGTGTGTTATTCCCCCTCAAAGTTGTTGATGGGCCCATCAGTTCCCGTTTACGAGACTTTTTACTACATGGCCGGCTCATCCAAGAGTTATTTTAATGCATTAAATCTGAAAGATATAGACTTAATAAACAAGCTTCTAGAAAATTATCATTCTTACCTAGTGATGAAGTTGCTGATACATTATTTGAACTAGAAATTTTGCACTGTTCAGATTCTGAACAAGAAATTGAAGAAGCTGAACCTAAGAATCAGGGAATTGGACCTGAACATTTTGTAATATTCTTATTTATTTGCAGCCTGATTGTCATAAACAAATACAAATTATTTCAACTCTTAGTAGGCCACAAAACACATTCTCGGAAAGGTTAAGAAAAACAAAATTGTCGAAAAAATTACTGTAATAAATGCTTCCAAAAAACATATTTTATAAAACACTATATAAAACATTACTGTAAAAAATGCTTCCATTATGTTTAGGATATGCAGACATTATTTGTTAATATTGCAGTAATTAACTTGATGCTACATTTTCTTTTCCTTGATTGATCTTTGTTCACTATCAATTTTGTTTTTTATTCACCAGTCTGCGAATTTTAAACAACTTGCGAAATATTTTGGGCTTTATATTGAATACATGGTTTATTTGCATATTTTACTTTATAATAAACTATTTGTGTAATTAATTAGTGCATTGTAGTACATTAGTCCATTAAGCCCAACGTTCCCACAGACGTCAGGATTTTTCACGTTCCCGCCACCGGATTAAAAAAAACCACAACAGCCCGCGCGCGAACTTTCCTTCCTCACTCATCACCACACACACTGCACTACACTGCCGCATACTTTGGGAGCTTAGAGCTTGTCCCGGCTGGGGCGGTGCCCCGCTGGTGGGAGATACCTGGTTGAGGAAACCCCGCAATCCAACGGATAGGTGAGCGCTGGATCTCGCCCCTCCAGAAGTGGAAGCCCGCCACCTAAGAACAAGCACTACACTCACGGGATCACTAACCTTACCCGTCGACGCGCCCGGAATCTTATCAATCAACCTACTGCTAGTCTGATAAGACAAGGTTCAAATCCGGCCCTCCGCCACGGTCCATTTTCAGTATGAACCCACGGGGCGCATCCAGAAGGTTCCGATCGCGTTCAGAGATGCCACGTGGGACTAAGACGGCGCAGTTCTAATCTTTTAACCGCCCAGTGCTACAATAAAACGGCTGCTCTGATATTGCCTCGCGCCAACTGCGAGGTTAGTGCAGTCATCCGACGTTTGCACGCTCAGAAGCAAGCTCCAGCAGAGAGTCATCGCTAACTGTTGTGGCGCGTGTATGGCCGCACGATGGTGCAGGCAATTCGCGGAAGGACGAACAAACATTCACGCCGAAGACTGTGCCTTGGCGGCACCTGAACTGATGGAAAACGTGCGGCAATTTCTGCACTCTCTAGTCAAATGCCCCAGACGTCTCGCTCGCTGATGCACCGAATGGTCTCCAGTGGCTTGCTTTCCGTGAAGAGGGTGCACGACGGGTGCCAAGGCTACTGAGAGACGATTAGACTCACCGACGCAAACGTCTGGGTGCGGCCTTAACATTCCTACTGAGATACGCGGAGAAAGAGACGAGTTTCTCGACCACGTCACTGCATTCGATGCAGCTCATGCGGTAGTTACTGTACCCCATTCCAGTCACCAGCCTGTACAAATACCTTTCAAACAATATCATACTTTTCTTCAACAGCCCAGTGCTTCGATTGCAAAAGCGAACTCTCCCACAGAAATAATATATACGTTTCTCATACTCGGGGGCAATTTCTCAAGCATATCTTTTGGGGAGGTGACAAGACTTCCTTTCACTAGCCACCATGGGGCAGTCGAAGAAGAATCTTCCCACAATTAGACGCCCCTTTCGCCACACGCCAATGCAAGAAAGACGAGCCCTCCTGGACGGGCTCGTCTCGCATGACCCGTAGCTCTGGCCAGCACTCTCGGCTGAATAGAGCTCTTCCTCAACTTCTTTTAAAATCAATCAAAGTTTTCGTGGTGAAAACCTATTCAGCATCACTATCATTTGCTTCTGGTTGTGCCCCGCAATTGCACAGTTAGATAGATAAAGTTTACTAAAGTTTGCTTTGAACTAATGCTCACTGACAGCAAGACATGACTGCAAACACCATCATACAATTAAAGTCGATAAATTACTTCTGGCTTAAACTACTGGCTGGCAGCAGCAAAAATGCTGCTGATCAAAATCACACAAAAAGTAGCATACACACTACAAGAAAAACTAGTTCTCTAATAACTCGTATTACATTAGAGACTCTCCTAACAAATATTTTACAAAACAGTGCTCAGGAAAATAGTAGTACTATCATATAGCACACTCTGATACACAGAACAACAGTTATTTACACACCAAACGTATCAAACAAGTAGATGGCAGATGCCTCCTCCCTAGGAGCCTTGCTGTCACACGACATCATACGTCTCCTAAGTAGTGACACATTGAGATTGAGAATTCAGTCTGTAGGTGCAATACGAGAATTCATAGAATAACACAACCAAATATTTGCATTTTTCAGGGGAAAAAATGAAATTTTGCTGTTTTATTGTTTTTGTATTTGCCCTGAAATCCTAGGTATCAAATGAAACCATTGACACCTCTCCCTTGGCTACACTTCCGAAGATTTCCCTCAATTCCCATGCACATACGAAATTAGGAACGTCCATTCATATCAGTGTCAGTAGCTGCCACCCACCAGCCACAGCAGCATAGTCGATACCAATTGTTTCTTTTTGTATTTTTCCCGAGCCCTTAGGTACCTAGCAAAATCATTAACACGCCTCACTTGGCTACCGGCAGCTTGGCTTTCATTCAATTTATGTAATTAGTAATATAGATAACATCAAATTATTTCTAAATGAGCATTTTGTCCCCATTTTCCTCGACCACATCACTTCACTCACTCTTCTCTCAAATTGACTTCCATTCAAAGGTTTTAAAAATACCAGTTTATCAAAACTCCTCTGCCCAGAACATTTCACCTCATCCAAATGAACAGTTGACATTCCACCAGGGGTGACATCTTGGTCGAACCACCAACTTCCAAATGCAGAGGTCGCGTTGGGAACAGCATTGAAAAAACGGGCAACCATGCCATTGTGATATTTTTGTAATTTAGAACAATGGGCAGATACACAGATTTGCGATTGAATATATCTTCATCAGCACAATGAATTAGTCAGTGTAGGGAGCTGACAACATCAGATTAGGGACATTTACATTTAGCTCCATTTAGACACAAAAACCAGTAGAAACTCTATGTGACGTATGGGGGAGAAGATCATCTGTGCACATAGTTGTAGGACCAGTAAAAGTTTAAAACAAATAAATAAAAATGATTAGTCATTGCAGGGGACATTGAAGGAGGCCAGAGAAGCCTAACAGTCTCTCTAGAGCAGGACTTCCAGAAGAGCCCATTCTGAAATAGTAGAGAGGAATGGACTGCAGAACCAGGTTGATGCGAGAAAAAGGTCCACAGAACAGGAGATAAGGTTTTTATTAGCAAATGCTCGATCTCAAAGTAGTGAATATCACTCTCACCAATTAAAATCTAAGCCTCTGAGCTTTTGCTCCAATGGGAGGGCTCTCTCAGCCACTTCCTGAGGAGGTTGAAGGCTCGTTTGAAAGCTGCCGGAGCGCGACAATAGTAACGTCTCAATCGTCATAGTCACAGATACTTCTTCTTCATCTTTCTGTCAGTTGCATCGTCTTATGAGAAACGAATGTCTTTCTCAACAATAAGATTAACAATTTAATGACAAGACATCCATCATACAGGTTCACAAGATATATTAACTTCTCCAAGCTCTGAGAAGTTAACTTGTTTATAATTTTAACAAATCATGCACAATATTGCATATAAGGCACATTTTCTACAGGAATTGAATCAATTAAATATCCAACAAATATGCAAATAACTTTACAACAATGTGGGCAGGAGAACAAACATGTTGGCTCTGAAATAAGCATTTCAAGATCAATTACAAACCAGTGTTTGCATAGCATGAAACTAGTCAACATATTCCTCAGCACTAAGTTGGGAGCCTTTGGACAAACATGAACTCATAACTCTCTTGAATAGTAATATGGAAGTTTTATTTTTCCCGTTATTCATTGGGCTCAGTAGTATGAACAAACGTAACAAACGTTGAGAGGAAATTAAGTTAAAAGATATTAATTATAAAGTCAAGTCTACAATTTGCATTCCAAAACAAACACGAAAGAAATAATACCATGTTTGATCCTGGGAATTTTCACAACAGCAGTAAACTTTGCCATTAACTATAACGTCCTCTACATTACATATTAGAAGGAAAACTGTTCAAAAAATTCTCAGTACATCAAAAGTTAAAAGGATGTGTTGCTGCCTGTCAAATTATATTAGCAATTTATGCTACCTAGTTTCACAATACAAAAACTGTTGAAATATCTTTTGTTCACTGACGCACAGCACAATAGAGACGTTTCGGGAAGCACTCACCTTCTGCTGAGGTCCTTCCTTCTCCAGCGCCGCGCAGCGCATTGCTGCAGCAGCCTCTGCCCTCTGAGCGATCAGCAGTTGAGCTCCCAGGGTCCTCTCTCGCTCGGCCCACGCAGCCTCTGCCTCCGCATTCGCTTCCTTCAGATGCTGCAGCTGAGGGGACAACACAGCAATATTAATTTATTGTAGAGCTACATTTGACACAATAGTACAAAGGCTGCTATTAAAGTAAGTTCCTTTTGTGAATACTCTGGGCAGCTTTACATGCTCTTGAAAATAACTCTTCAGAAAACAGACGCACTACACAGAGCCTACCATTTAATATTTACAATCATAGAGTGAATCTGCACACTACATTTGGTGAGTTTAAAACAGAAGGAACAGAGAAACCCAATGAAAAGCTTGGAATGTACTTAATCTGCCACAAATTCCACATTTCAGGTTTTAAGCATATGTTAGAAAATTATTGAACTTGACATAAAATAATGACAAATGCAACTAGTGCCCCAGTCAGAACTGCATCCGCCTTTGCGTCTGCCATCCATCTGCTTACCTCCTGTCGCACACCATCCAGTTCCACTGCCAGCCGCTCGGCCTCGTCTTCCGCGTCCTGCGCCCGCTGCTGCAGCAACTGCTGCTCGCGCAGCTCCTCCAGCTCCACAGCCTCTTCCTCCTCGGAGGTGCGCTTCCACCGCCCCGCGTCCACCAGAGCCTCCAGGGAGGCGATGCGCAGCAGCTGCTCTGACACTCGCTCCTGGAGTACATCTCGTTCTGCACTCGCCTCCTGCAAGCAAACAAGACCTGTTCAAGAGCATAGGTCATGTGTATTTCCTTATTTCTATTTTTGAATTTCCTATTTTAATGAATTTAGAAAAAAGAATTCTAAATTGTAAATTATCAACTCATGAGGTTGAATATAAATTAAGATCTTTTCACCGTTTGATTTTTGTTTTGCACTGTTTATGAATTTTCCCCTCAATATTAAGTCTTATTAAACTAATAAAAACCCTTATTATATATACAGTGGAACTTCTCTTTTACACTTTTCAAGGAACCAAGAAAAAACAGTGTAAATCGCAGAAAAGTGTAAACGGAGGGGAAATTCTATTGTACGTAAAATAAAATACTGAAAATTTACAACCCAGTTTTAGTAAATATTTTCCACTTTAAAATTCAAGACTTCTAGTATTTTTACTTTCTCGCACAAACAATAACAAGAGAGACTTGGGTAATAATGCGCCGGAAAACGGCGAATTTTTGGCAGAAAAACTTTTATTGTAAATTACTTCCTCTAACACATGGCATTGCCAGAATCCATGTTTTGTGGGTCCTTCATACTAAAAAATTGATTTTATTGCAAAACGTCTGTCTGTCTCTCCATCCTTGGGCAATGCCAGCACCTAAACCCTTCAGCCGATTTTCTCTAAAAATTGATATCCCCTGATCTATCAAAATACGTAACCAAAAGTATAAATCAATTTGCAAGAGAAAGCCAAAATAACTTGAAAAAAAATTGTATTCACAGATCTACAATGGCTTCAAAAAGTGCAAAATGCAGGAAAAATTAATTTCGAAAGAGTCAAAACGGGGGTAATTTAACAGCGAACGGGGGAAAATGGTGTTAAGTGCCGGGAAACGTAAATTCCGGAAACGTAAAAGCAGGGTTATACTGTAATTGTACAGTAGGAGTAGATACACGGTGAAATTGGCCCTTAGCAGGAAAGACAACATGGGACATTCACGTCTTGTTTCTCAAGATATTATTTTTATTATGTCATCTGTAAAATTTGACCAGTGCATATGACTTTTGTTGTTAACACACAAATAACACAAAAAAAAAAAAAAAATTAAACTGGCTTAGCGCCTTATGGTTGGGTACAATTAACAGGAAATGGATGTAGCAAACATTAGTATATATTTTCCTTTCTTATGGGATTTGGAAAATTTTCTATTGGGAATTGAATGATGTATAGTCAAACAGCACACATGATCAAAGAAGCAATGAACTTTAACCTTCTAGTTACAAACAGGAGGCAATTATCCCAGAGTTTTTCAGCCCAGTTGTACGAATGGGATATATTTTGCCTGACCTCTGGAAGTGTGTGACGGCTCTTATCTCTTGCTTGACCTATCTCTCTCACTCTTTTTCAAGAATGATGAGCTGAACTGTGCTGATTCCCACATATTGGAGCCCCATTCTATGCAATCTGGAAGTGTTGAAAGAGAGGGATCTCGAGGCGCTATCAGAGCCATCGTGGGCAAATGTGACATTTCACACAATACAGTGTGCTGTGCTTCAGAAGCAAAATATGACAATGTGGATCACTTATATTTCCCTGGAGAGGGCACCTTAACACAGAAGAAGAAATCTAGAAAGAAGAATAAGGAAAGGAGGTGGCTTCAGACATTGCTAGTAAAATCCCATTAGGTTTGACAACTAAGTTTGTATGCAAGGAGCTTCCATTTCCAGTGTGAAAACAAAAAAAACAGACAGCTTGCTTTTGCAAACTACACTTATTTTATCAGCAGCTGATTTTGGTTTTTGAAATATTGAAGAACAAATAACAGGGAAAAGAAAAGTGGAATTCAAAAAGAAAGATGAATAATTATTATATTAACTTTGTAAATAAACTTTTTATCTGTTTGCAATTTGTAATGAAATTTGTGAGTTGGCATTGCAATTACACATACCTTGCACAAATTTGTTCAATAATGTACAATTTTAATTTTATTTGGAAGCATTTCTAATAATTAAATGGGTTCTCTCTGCTAAGGGCAACCTCTCATTATTATGGTACTTTATCCAGAATGGTAAACTCAAATATAGAGCAACAAGAACATTAAAAATGGCATATTTCTGTTTAAATATTGCATTCACTATTAGTAATCAAATAATAATATTCCCATACATTATCACATACACTATCACTGTTTCCCATGCATACATCTCTAAAACCTATTTTAGCTAGAATATGCACATACCACCTTACTACAGCCCACTGGCCATCAGAGGTCATTGCCTTCCTAAGAAACACTAGCCCACCCCAGCCTTTGTCAACACTCACTGTGTTGAAAAATCCACTGGGGTGAAGTGCATTTGTCCATTTAAAAAAGTTCATACAACCAGAACTGCAGAAGAAACAGTCCTTATCCGAAAGGATATGTCTAGATTCACATGTGGATGACAGATGAAGAACATTTTACAAAGCAATCTGTGATCATCAGTGTATCCCTATCAGTTCCATCCTCACAAATATTTGACTTCCAACCTACTATTCATTTCAAGTCGCTCTCCAGATGCAATCTCAATGCTGACAAAGAACCTAAACCTAAAAGATTCTCATGCACTGACAAGAAATAAAAAGCAGGAAGTACCTCCTCTGCTCGTCGGGCTGCTTTCAGTTGCATCTCCAGATCTCTTGTTTTCTTAAGTGCCGCTTCCTCAGCTCTAGCATGGCGCTGGAGACGCTCCTGCAGACGAGACAGCTCGCGTACTGGGAGAGGGACTGGAGGGGGTGAGCGGGGCGAAGAGCCCATAGAGCCAGTCAGTGACGGGGAGGCGCTGGCAGCCCTCATGTCCTCAGGAGAGTCGCTCCGGAACATGTCCCTGGAACATCACACACAATACTGCTTTGCAATAACACTACATATACCACATGCTTAACTGTAGAAAGCCTGAGATTCTGTAGCTCCTACTCCACCCGCAGGTGTTGTTACAACGCCTTCCTAATTTCAGCTGGTTGCTTCAAGAATAACTAAGTATTTTTATCTTTTACTGATTTTCATTACTTTCTTAGTCATTTCTAGTAATAAAAATGTACATTTCCAATAAAAATTAATATTTAAGGATGCAAGTGGCCAAACCACAAGAACCTGCTAGATTTTATACGTGATGTTTGTAAAAGAAATTACGTAAACAATAAGCTTAAAAGTTATGTGTACTAAATATTTTCTCAACAAAGTGTCCACGACTTTTAAGTCTATCAGCTGGCACATCATCAGACTGCCTCCATTGTAGAAACTTGCCTGTGGAATAAACACGTTTTATCACAGCTTGGACATGCTAACAAAATGCCCTCAAAAAGAGAGACAACTGAATGAACTTACAAATAATTGTGCAAGTCACAATAAGTTGCATGTTTCTTAGAACTGTAAAAATTCAGGTCATGCATGAAAACATGAGAACTGTAGAAGCTCGAAAGAAATATAACAGGTGTCTCAGTTAAGGGTATCCTAGCTATCTAGTAGTTATGAGCAGAGTGCGGTATTCACATGTTCATTAATTATCCCCACTACTTGTAAAATACATAGGATACCAATTCACTCACTCTTTCGCCATGTTATTGTGCATTTCAGTTTCGTCGTCCCCCCCCCCCTCCCAATTTTACTTTTTGCTTTGTGTATATTTGAGTTATGAGGACGACAAAGTTCAATTTAATGCAGCTATCAGCAAATGACTTAACAGAACAGACTGCTGTTGGCTGAATGGTGAAACTAAACCTTGTTTCGATGGAAATGCAATGTCCTTTCTGTACAAAGAGACTCACAGCGCAAACTGCAAATTATTACTTTGGAATATTTTCATTCCAGAAAACCAACATGAGAGTCATGGAGGGAGATGGTTTATACCGCCCACCATGGAAGAAAAATATTTTTTACACCGTGAGTTTACTAGTTTTCATCTAAATAGCGTCATTCATGAGTAGTGAACCACATCCTTCGCTTCACAGTGCCTGTACTGGGGTCCACACAAATATTGTTAAATTGTGTGCTACTTCTGAAATTAATATGCATAGATCCATCTTATTTGGATTCCATCCCTAGAAGATTTGTCCCCCTTTCATCTCTGGTTAGGTTGGTAATACTTAGTGGAGGGGGTGTCTTAAAACAAGTGAACATCACGCTAAGCTCACAACCAGTAGGTTACTAGTATTTCCGCACATAATAATACTGAAATTGCATGAATATAGTACAACCACAATGTGAACTATCTTGTTGGTCTCAAAATGACATCCATGAGAAGAGTAGTAAAAATATTAAATAAAAATTAGTTTTATAGGTTTTTAAAAAATTCTTGTATAATTAAGAAACATATCATAAAGCAACAAACACTTGTAAAAGGTTGTGAGGTTCTATAAAATTATCTACAAATTGTTCCACTGGAATCATGTTTGGAGAAGTAGTTTATACAACAGATATGCGAGTTCCTCAAAGAGCAGATATTCATTATATCTTAACTTTCAATTTCTGAGTTTTCTGCCTTGGTCACGAAAGGAATCATCAAAACTTTTGATTCAATGATGTGCCTCAAAATTATCAATAATTTCAAAATTATTTCAGAATAATTAGAGCATAATCATTTGGAACAATTTCAAATTCAAAGCTGAAACTGGAATCAAAACATCTAGTTATCAAAAACTGAAACCAAAACATAACATGAAATATTTTATGAAGTAACACCACAGAATTATTTGAAATGATTTGATATCTTGATAATTACACAATTCATAATATTAAAATCTACTACTAACAAACATATCTGCATTATATCTTATTTTCTTTTGTTTGCAATGGAATTAAACTGACAATACTTAAGCAAGAGGACTGACCTGACAGACACATCCTCAGAAGGAGAGCTCTGATTAGATGATGTGGCATGCAGGGCTTCCAACTGATGAGTGCGTTTCTCCACATTGACTTCCATCTCTCGAATCTACATAACAACAGAAATCACCCAACAAGGTTGCAATCACAGGATGAAATCTATCACGTGTAACATTTTGGTGACGCAGAAAAGGATAACAAAGTCTTATAGATCAGGAGGTAAGTTTGTGAATGGCAAGGGAATTTTATATTTTATGACAATGAAACTAGTTACATTTTTAATCCTAAAACTGCAAGGTTTTATGAAACTGACATGGTATTTGAATGTAGGATATTATGAATTTCACTTCATTCTAAAGTATATCAATTTTATTTTCATTCAAACTTGCAAATTAATAAAAGAAACATCATTAACATCATATACTATAGGTTGCTAGGTATGTTACCTGTTCCTGTTTTCCAGAAACCTCATCGACTTATATTTTCTGAATACATGAATTTCTACACTGTTATATAATGTACTTGCTCTTGTTAAGCCAATATTAATTATACCAACCATTCATTTAGTAGTGGTTGTTACATACACTTAAACTAATACAGTAAGTCAAAGAATCGAGTTGCAATGCAATGCACCCACACTCACGCAATGTGGATGCCCATGCATACACACAACACATATTTCACAATAACACATGCACACTCACACATACATAAACGCACACATCAACACATTGCTCTTGATTTAACTCAAAATTTCAACCACAAACTCACTTGTGCCTTCATCTGCTTTATCGCAGCAGGCCGGCATTGTTCTGCTTGCAGGCGATGAGCATGCAATTGCTCCTGAAGAGCTGCCACCTGTCGAGAAATTTCAGAGCCACCCTCTGCACGCAAGGATTCAAGCTGAAGACAAACCAACACACAACACATTACAAAAACAAAACAAAGAGCTGTACATCAAACTACAGAACTCATTTTTACTGAGCTTTTTAAGAAAATGTAGTATCCAATTTCCAAATCATTATCACCCTTTACAATCTCTCATTACACACATTTCCTCATTCACTCATGCAACACAGCCCTCTCAAAAGGAACATCTTTACCTTCAGATTCTTGTAGATACCAAAGGTATTAACACGCAACCGAATGCTTCTAAGAGAATGCTATTAAAAACATTTCCAAATGTATTTCTAGACTATTTAAAGATTTTTTGCATATGATTATTAATTTATCAACAAAATTAGTAAGAAAATTATATTGCAAAAATTCTACATCTATTGCACCTGTAAAATTTTCTCCGACCCTAATTATTCATAAATTAGAAGGGTGTAAGTACAGTCATTGGGCATCTCCTTTCCACCCTTACAGAGTACCTGAAGTTACAAAATTAGATTAATAATTTAATTTTACAATAATTTAATTTGAAAGATCCCTACATCCTGGTCAGGTTTTTATCCAGTTTCCCTGATCCATTGAGTAAATGTTGTGTTGCTTCTGGATATAAACATAGCTTCATCATGCTTTTGATTTACTGAGCTCTCCTTTTCATTGGCAAATGAGTAGAGCCAGGGGTGTGGGGTGCTATTTTGTTAGGAACAACATTAAATTAAACCTGTAGTTTGTTTACCTATGCAAATAAGTTTTCTGTAATTCAGGAATGAAAATTTCTAGTTTATAAATGTTGCTAACCTCACTTTTTATTCATCATTCAACTACAAACAGTAAGATGGTGGGAAAGAGATTCTGGAGCTCAAGAAAACTTGGACAGATTTATACTCAGAACTCCCCAAAATGTCACAAAGTGTTCACCGTCCCTAGACAAAAATAAATCTGTTGAAGCTCTAGGGCCAGCGGGGCGGAGTCCTACCTCATCGCTCAGTTGCTGCCGAGCATTCTCCTGTTCATGCAAAGCCTCCTGCAACTCTTGCACCCGCGCCTCCAAGTGGGCTGCTCGAGCATCCTTTGCTTCCGCTTGCAGCTCCAGTTCTGCCACAACATCACGCAGCAGCCACACCTGTCATGAAGGGTTATGAATTACCACATTTGTCAATCATAAACACTTGGAGGAACATGTCTCCAAATAAATGAAAAATTTAAATATTTAATGGTTATGCTCACTTGGCCACAATAACTGTTAAACAAATTTTTAATCCATGACATTATTTCACAGAGCTAATTATAATGCAATTATAAACTAATAAAAATCAAATCACACAATATACTTTGAAACAATGAATGTTCAGAATTACATTACTACTAGGACAGAGAAAATGTGACGATATCCAAACCAGAAAGTTTTAAATGATCATTTGTGAAATAATAAAATACCAATTCACATGTTAGGTGAAAAAAAATAAGAACATTTCTGACATCACTTTTTGATTACTCAGTCCTGAATCCAACTGGATAAATCTATCTGTAAAATCTGATATTGCCTACAGAACTGTGCATTAAAATAAGAATACAAAGTTTTCTACAAAATAATTAAGTTCACCAATTATCTAACATATGTTACAGCACTAAACATGCCATTTGACACAATGCAATAACAATGCAGTCTATTATTAAGTCGATCAACTTATACATTAACCGATTATTTAGACCAACTTATACATTAACATCAGAGCAAAAAACACTGCAAGACAGACTTATTTAAATTTTTGTTATAAACTATTTACAGAAATAACAGAGCCAGAAATGTTAGAAAAATAGGATAACACCAAGACCCATGCCAATTTTACACAAATAAAACTGTAAATGCTGCAATAACCTGAAATCAAATAGTTTAAAAAAATTTAATGTAGAATTAAAGTATTGATTTCTTCAAAAACAGTGAGTATACATATCTTTCTAAATAAAATACAAATATTTGTAGTTACATCTTTATATGTAAAAATTCTTAATAAATCCTGATAATTAATGATGGAATAACGTAATGTACAGAAAAAAAGAAGTGAACAATAAATCAAATTATGACTGTCGTCACATTCATGAACACTGTTTAGTTAACTATAAATTTTACATGAAATGAACAGAACAGGAATAAGAGCCAGCACTGGCAATTATTTGATTTTCCCTAAAATCTTCTAGTTCAAATTGATTTATTAAATTTCCTCCAACTTGTAGTTTCAATCCAGCCTCTCAGTATCTTCATATCATGTGGGAACCTAGTCATTCAAGCCAGTGTTTCAAGAGGTATTAAATTTCTTTCTCTTCATATGGTATGATTCTTGGAAATACATTTGTGATTATCTTATTTGTTTTCAAGAAGGGTTTTGCACACCACATTCTTCCATTTTGTCTTCTCTGATATTTTCATTCCTAATATAATAATACTTAAGCAGAAAGAATTATCTTCTTTTTGTTAAGAACAGCAACTGCTGGTACGCAAAGCAAGCAGGAGGACTGAGCATTGTCTGATTGAGAATTGTCCAATAAATAAATACACCTTGATAACTTTCATAATGCTGAGAAAAAAATTAGGTTAAAAATTAATTACAATTATAATAAATATAGTTCATTTATAAAAAAAAACTGTTATTGTAATTATTGATATTGTAAACTGTAATTGTTTCTTAAAACATTTATTATTAACTTCAATCAATTGTGAGGTCAAACTAACAATCATTGAGTATGATTAATATCTATCAAATATTCCAAATTCAGTTTACAAAGACACGGTAATAAAATTTAAAATTTTAAAAAAATTAAAAGATCTCCGTCATTATCATCATCATCATCATCATCATCATCATCATCATCATCATCATCATCATCATCATCTTCTTCTTCTTCTTCTTCATCAACATCCTCAGTTTATGGGCGGTGCTCCACTCTTCTTAGTGGGTAAAGCAGTATTCCTTCATGTGGCGGAGTGCTCCTGCTGGTGCCATCTTCTTGTCGGTCTGCCTCTATCTCTCTTGTGATTCGGTCTATAGTTTAATGCCACTCCTGGTAGACGTTCTTTGTACATTCTTTTCAGATGTTTTCTCCATTTCCTTTGGAAATTTTTGATTTCTTCTGCTAAGTTTCCTGTTTTCAGTTCATTCCTAATTGTTTAATTTAGAATTTTGTCCCTTCTTGTTACTCATAAGACTGACCTTAAAAACTCCATTTGAGCTTTTATGCTTCTGATTTCCTTTATGTCCATTATCCATATTTCTGAACTATAATTTAGCATTGGTTTTGATATAATAATATGGATTCTCATCACTGTTTTTTTTTCATATTTCCAAAATGTCTCTTTATTATTCTATTGTTTCTATTATTCATTTATATTTCTACAAAAATATAATAGAAATTAAAAGATCAAAACACAACAGTTGTGGAAAAAAACAAACATACAGTGTGTGCATTCAGATGAGAATCATCAATAACACTGATTTTTGGAACAGATAACCACAATCATATTTATTATTTTCATCAACATTTCTAGTGTACTACACAATCCCTTTTATTAGCCAAGAACTTATTCCTTACATCCAAAGTACACTCATCAGCATTACACATAAGACAAAACTCCATTTCTTAATGTTCTGATCCCAGAGAGAGAGAGAGAGAGAGGGGGGGGCGAGAGAGAGAGAGAGAGAGAGAGAGAGAAAGAGAGAGAGAGAGAGAAAGAGAGAGAGAGAGAGAGAGAGAGAGAGAGAGAGAGAGAGAGAGACCGATTCTGGTATGATGTTCCATCTCATTCATTCATTACGAGATGGTGGTTCCAAAGGAAAATTATATCATTGAAAAATCTGCCCCTTTGATAAAACTTATCATGCAACTCTCAAACGTCAAGCACAAAAAAGAATGGAACAGTGTGTGTTGCAATGCATCTTACGTTTTTATCACATTTGTTTATTGGGATTTGCTATTTTAATATATGATAGAATATTTAATTAGACGTTGTAAATTGAGGGTAGTAGATATTAATCTTACTCAAAGTGTGCAGGTTTGACTTTACAATTGATCCGGGATAATGAATGTTCCTTAATTATGTTTATTTTAATTTAAATAAAAGATACTTTTACAATTGTCAATAATTTTGCAGTATTTCTCCTTTTTTTTCTCAGTATTATGAATAATTAACAAGGTTGCTGTAATTATAAGTCTTCTTGTAGGTCAATTTTGAATATATCCTCACAGACAATTGATCTACATCTTCAACTTGAAACATTATTCTTTGATAAGTGAGATACATGTTCCAAAACTGGTTTTTTCATTTCAACTATGTCTTAAATTACCACATTTATCTGAAACATTGGGTATTTGTGGAAAATTTGCAAAAGATATATTAGGAACTTTGGTTGTTTTGATTACAAAACTTTCTGATTATGAGGGGCCTGAGTGAAATATTTTTAAACTTATCTTTTCTCTTTTCTTTTCTTTTTCTCCCAAGAAAACTACCCTTTGCAAATAACAATACTAACAAAAGCAATTCCATTGGAATTATTAACAGTAGTTTTTATTTCAGACAATTTCTATATACCTTTTGCAATTTCTCTTAAAAAGTGCCAAATATTTTTCATTAATTTTTTCTTTAAATACTTGTAGTATTGCATGCAATGTAATAACAAATATACTTCAGACAACACACAAAAAACAACTTTCCAAAGTTAAGAACAAGAAACTGAACTAAACATTAGTAAAGATGAGCTAAATATTAAACACCCGTGTGAAAAGTTGAGAAAAAATGTTTCTGAACATATGGGTTTTTTGCCTTGTTTGTTTTATCTCACGAAGCAGAATCCTGCCACTGACCTTGTCCACTGCTGCCTTGAGCTCCACCTGCAAGGCTTCGCGGTGGGCTTCCAGTTGCTGGTGGCGCGCTAAGGCCTCCTTGCCCTGTTGTTCCAAGGCCTCCACCTGGGCGACAGCACAGCAGCAGGCAAATAGCAGCAAGCATAGCACAGCACAGAACAGCCAAGCACACACACATCAGGCTAACGAGCTCAACAAGCATAAGACTTTCAGATGAAGAGACGAGAGAAACAAGACCAGGAACAGCAGTTGGAACACCACAATGTCATGCTCTTAGTAGCAAATCAAAAATTACTTCTGGATCTAGTTTTTTTGTAGTTCTGAAAACAAAACCCAAAAAGATGAATAAAGGGGCCAAAAATTCATTTAATTTCTCTTTTGAAACTTCTTTATAAACAATTTCGTCTATTCCCTATACTTCATGGTAAATTCGAGGCCAAATAGTGGATGTTTCCAAAACGAGATGGGAGAGTTCCCAGTCAAGGCCAATAGGTCATGGCCAATAGGCCAAATCTAGGAATCCCTATGTGTCACTGGAAAGTATTTTGAACATGCCATATGATGTACAATATTTTATCCAAGACCTCAACTTTATGACAATTTATTAATACATAATTAATGTCTGTATAAATTATTAACAAATACAAATAATTAATCAATTATAATGCATATTTTTAATCTGTATTAAAATTGCCAATTATTTGTGTTTGTTTGTGACAACTTGTTTGTGTAATATACAAGTTTCATTGACAAACATGATAACATACTTGTTATCACTTGTGTAATTATGCATCACTATCTAGTGACTCCTGAATAAATTATTTCATTGCTGTTTAAAAACAACTTGAAGACATTTGGGTAAAGAGTATATTAATTTTAAGTCATTTTTAACAACATTACTCCAATATTGTTTTATGTTGTAGAATTTTTGGAATAATTTTTTCACAGACTTTTAAAATTTACAACATAAAATTACCATGTACGTTTTAAAACAATAAACATTGTCTGTTTAAAATTAGTTCCAAGAATTTTTTAGACAACATACTTTTGTTAGAATTTGTTTAAGTGGAAAAATTTTTTATTCATAATACACTAAAAATTCTTCAGAATCATTACTATATATATTTGAAATTGCAAGATTTATTCATTCACCATAACAAAACGCGATATAATTATGATCCCCTCTACACATCATATGCTAAAGAAAGACCATGGTTTTGAACCATTTTTAAGATACCTTCAACTCTATAAGTGTTGTTCAAATGGATATGATATGATAGGGAATTACTACAAACACACGTCCCAGAAGTTTCAAACACATTTAACACAAAAATCTTAGAACTTTGAATACTGTGATAGATGGTAAACAGCAGATGCTCATTCAACACGGATCACACATTACGGTCAAACACTCATTACTGTTGTGCATAACTTGTAAATGATGCATCCTTAAAAGTAGGTTTGTGTGTCCCTATTATTCAATATACAATTTATTTTTGTTTTGTCATAATCTACAAAATGAGACCTTTTTGAAACTTCTATTTCATTTTTGGATTTAGCTCTTCTGGGTATCCCCACACCACAGCATAGCTGGCCAGAAACAAAATTTCTTGTAAGAAATCTATGTTCAAATAAATTTACTACTTGATATTCTGTAAAACTTAATCTTGATATTTAGAAACATTACAATGTTAGTCCATTCACAGTTCCAACTCCATAATGCAGTTTAGCAGGTGGGGCCATTCAAAATAAAGCTTGAAATTAAAAGCAGAACATTTACAACATCCAACTAGTACATGTCAAAATGAATTTTGTAGTACAGATTGTTTTAAAGAAACAATAAGGCAAATGTATAGAACATTATCTAAACAACAAATGTACAGAACATTACCTGAAACAGACACTATGTAAAATCTCATAATTAATTAATTAGAGAGACCAATGAAGCAATTTATCAAGCATGTAAAAGCACTGATTGTAGTTTAAACCTCTGTTGCAATTCAGAAGCTAAACAAATGTAATGAATGTATCAAATGAATAACAACAGCTGTGACTCAAAATAATGGATTCTAAAAGCAGATGGTGCTGAAAGAAAATTGTATTTCTAAACTGTTTATCACAGACAATTATTCATGAAGAGAATGAACTGAAAAAATAGATATTTAGAGAAATGACAACATGGAAGGGGAAAGAATCCCCAGCTTTAACATGGGTGTAAAACAGGTTCAAAAAAATATTTGATCTTTCACAATTCCTGAAATTCCAGATCTTGAAATGAAAACCAGATGTATATAGTTTATTAAGACTTCATTCTATTCAAGTGAAGAATCTTAAGAAAAAAGCTGAAGTTATTTTGAAAATGACTTCTTTACATTTGTTTTTTTATATTTATTTTCTTTTTTTAATTGTTGATTGTCGCAATTTTGCCCAAAATTAGATGAAAAGCACTCATATTTTCAAAAAAGCATAAATAACATTATTTAAAGGTCTAATACAGGAGAACAGATTTTTTAAAGAAAAAAATATATTTTTAATTATGTAGATGTAGGAGGTAAGGACAATAGGAGAGATCCGGGAGACTGGTATGATGTGGAATCAAATCATCCCTATAGCAGAAACTGAGTAAGGTGGAGATCCTGTGCTGAGGCCTTCTGCTCTGAAAGGAACTAAAGGAAGAAGAAGTGGAGTATGACCAAAAAATGTACCCTCCGATGAACACATGAGATTTTCTGAGAACCTGCAGCGGTTTTCTCCCTTGTAGTGTGTTAGGTATTTGTAAGTTATCAGCGTTAGAAACAACTCTTTTATTATTTTTGTGCAATTTGCTTGTATTATAATTTAAATTTATGTTCTCTCTAGCCGTACATTTTGCCTGAAACATAAAAACTCTTAATTGTGGCCTCTGAAGACTCCCATCAAAATTCCAGTTCATTGTTTCTTTAAGTTCATAGCTTTGGGTGTTATTTCTCATAACTATATTCATTGTCTTTTGATGGAACTGCATAATATTGTCGCTGTGTATTATTTAAAAATATTATTTATCTTCATTGGCAGAGGCTTGTGTCTTTTTCTCATTTATCTTCCTTTGACATCAGTCATGTAACATGACAGTTCTTAGTGATTTCTTTATATTTCATTATTTAGTAATGGCAGCAACAATTTTGATGATTCACTATATCGGTAAAAAAAAATTTGGGGCATCATAGATACCCATAGATTCAGTCAATTATATGAAAGAAAGTAAATAAAAGAGATATTCGAAAATATTTACAGAAATTGCACAAATTGAAGAACATACAGATTCTACAAATTCAGAAGAAAGTGATGAAAGAGTTTAATAATGCAGATGAAAATGCAATGTGTTCTGTAGTATGTGCTTCTGTATTAATACAATGAAGCATTGGCTTATTTTGAAAGTACCTTGTTCCATGGAATAAGGACACAATTCAACATTTTTAAATTAATCTAAATCCACATATTTCAGAATTTCAATTTATTTTATGTGCTTAATCAGTTAGTATTGTGATTTTTCCTGCGATATGTACATTTTTTGAAATTTTACTTCATGTGAGAAATCGAGTTTGTACACTATTTTTCTTGATTATCTCAAAACTGTGATTTCTAAATTACCCCTCACTTCATGTTGGAGGTGGCAAGTAATAACGGAGACCCGCGGCGTACTTCTGTTGATGACGAATGATGAGGAGCTGAAGATGAATGAGTCATCAACAATGAAGAAAGTGAACATGCCATCTTCTTATGAAGAGGAGGGACTGCAATGAGGTGGAGGGAAGCGAAATTGTAAGTAATGAAGCATATCAATCTTTCACTGAAATAAATAAATAAATAAATTGGGGTATTGAAATACCTAGGTCATATCAAATTTCACTGCAAAACATTATTAGAAAAAGACGCCATGAAAAGCCACACATCTACGTTTTCTAAAAATTTCAACTTCTCCATACACTGTATCAGGAAATATGACACCAAAATCTAGAGAAATTTACTCCTCCATTATTCTGTTTCTTGAACTTGTGACTACATTGCCCAACAAACCTAAAAAAGTAATTAGTTGCCACTTTGTCTTTACCCTTGCACCAAACTAAGACTGCAAATGGAGAAGAACCAAACCAGAAAAAATAATCTATTACAACGCAAACAAATGGACAGTTCACAACTTGGTTAAGGCAATAGTAAAACAAAACACCTAAAGCAGGCCCAAAGTGTTGTTTTCCAATACAATTGACATTGCTTGTGGTGTTGCCATGGTAATAAGAGCATCACCCCAGATGTCTGTTGAATAAATTCGAAAAAAGAGTTTCTTCTCTAATAAGGGAGGCAACTTATACATTAATTTATTAAACAGAGACTGTTAGATGATGTTTCCAGAAGAGTGCAAGGACTGAATTGCAAGCTACGACTGTAAGACCCAATACCACTAAAGGACACAAGTAATTCCCAAAACCAAAGGAAACGTTAGTTGTGTTCACCTGTAAATGGAATCTACTGTGTGGCAATCGCATGAAAAAATAACATTTACTCAGAAACTATTGTGTCATGCTTGTCATGTTTAGAGGATACAAAAAATGTTTATGGCTTTATTTATTTATCAAACATCTTAATTTTACGTTAGTATTTTCTGGACAAATTTACATTTACCAATAGGAACATAACTGTTAAGTAGTTTCATATAAGAAGTGAATTGAAAATTTAGAAGAACTATACGTATCCATTAAGTTAGTAGCATAGAAATACATATTTTTTTGTGCAATAAATTTAATTTATTTAGTTTATTAACAATGATAATAATGTAATAAAGCAATCTAATGAATAATATTTTCATCGTTATTCTCAAACAATTTCTCTTTTTCTTTCTTTCTTCAATGGCATGAGCTTAAAAACTGGTTGGGGTTCTTAAAAGCCCTAAGTACGCAATCACAGTTCATTTTCCATGCAGCAGAAACTTAACTGCAATTTTCAAAATTTCAGTGATTTTAATGAAAATCAAATCTGCGTCATCTTCACAAACATATTTTGCTTTTTTCAAACAGAAAAAATTTGGATCAATTTTTGAAAACATTTTGAAAATACTTTTGGGGCTTCATGTAAAGTACTCTCAAAATGAAATGATCAGTTTCAAATTCAAGAGGCCGCAACTTCCACTCAATCAGTTACAAAATATCCATTTTGATGAAAACCCTGTGAGTGGTGTAGGAGCTAGAGTAGTTCACAGTCAGTCAATAACAGGAAGTTTTTTTTTTTGTTTTTTGGGGG